GGGTATTCATGCTTCACTGCGGCATGGTATCTCACTCTCAGCGAGCTAGCACTATAAAACCAGCTTAAGTCTGGGATAGTACAAGCAGCCGCACATACACATACACACGCATGCACGTCGTCATATGAGCGAAATATTCTCATGCACGACGTTAAACCCAATTTCACCTCACCTCACTTTCAACAGCACACTTACAACAGCCAACATCACACTTACTACAATACACTTACTACAGCACACTTACAACAGCCAACATCACACTTACTACAATACACTTACTATAGCACACTTACTACGGCATGCTCACAACAGTGCATCACTCTACACTGTCATGATTATTACAAACAGTGCATCACTCTACACTGTCATGATTATTACAAACCCCTAACTTCACTGTTCCATATCATGCTTACTACAATACAATACTACAGTACACTTACAACAGGACAATTACTACAACATGCTTACTATAGAACTACTTAAAAGAGGAGTCAACATACAGTTGAGTTTTGTTTGAAGTGTGAGGAAGATACTGTCATGGTTGCTAAGTGACATTTATTGTAATTGTACTTTATAGCATGTTGCAGTTGTACTTTGTCTCCACTCGTCTAAATCAACAAAATGATGTCTCACCTGACAAAAATATTCATGAAGCAAACTTACTGATGTAATGGACAGGGAATACAGGTATATGTCAAACAGGTTCTACTTCAGAGTAACAGTTACAGCATGTACAGTTTGTGGAAACAGTTCAGTTTTGACATTCATCTTCTTGGTCATTTCTATTATCCAAATATATAACTGTTTAGTAGATAACCGAATCCCATTCACTGGGATATTTAATACTGAAACACTCCAACTGTTGTGCCACCCTGAGTATAGGAATGTCCCTGTGGTCACAGGTGGCCGGCCACAGGCTGCTGGACGTCCAGATATTACATACAAATGTACCATGTATCGTATGGGTACAACAGCAATGCAATAAATGATAGCTTTTAGGTTTACATATTAAATCTAAGCACATGGAACATCTGTGTGGACCCAAACAATGTATTCCATTATATCCCTGACTGTCCCTGGACTGTGATTGTAGCAGATGTAAAAGTGGCTCTGGAATGTTCACTTAGGCCAAGTCCACAATAATCACTTGGACACTCACTCACACACCAGCATGCAGATCATACACCTTCAAACCTATCATCCTCAATCTATGGTAGGTGACATATTTTAGTGTAAGATCCAAAATAATTCAAATCAGATGATATATTCCAATATGACTCTCCTCTGTGAGAAGATCCTCCATTGGAGAGGCTGTCATTCTGATCAGCCAATCGTCAAGGCTTCTAAATTCATAACGGCTAAACTATGATGAACACACCATTCAGAGCAACAAAGGGTTACTGTATCTCAAAATGAACATAAATGGACAGATCTCAATATAAATAATATATGCAGCAGCATAACACTTCTATAGATATTTCATAAATCTGTCATTTCTGCTGCAGATGCAACGGCGTCTAAACCCAAAATGTGTTCAATGTGGGTTTTCTTTTGTTAACACATATTTAACTAAACTGGTAAAGAAACATAGCCCAAATTATTTCATAACCTGATCAGAAAGTAATTTAATCATATTTCAGCCATACAAGAAGGATACTGAGAAACAATGCTCTGTAATAATTTAGCAGTTTATCAGTATATTGAATCAGCAATCAAATCTAAATGTATCTGCATTATAATTATTTAGTTAACCAAAACAAAATCAAGAAAAGAAATTTTTTGACAAAATATTCAAAATATTGTTATGTACCTTTACAAACTTGCACAATGCATAGTTTCAGTGAATGGTTATCTTGTCCACAATTTCAAGGTCAGGGAATTGTGTGTCCTTGAAACAACAAGCATAGTTACATTGTGGACTGCCTTGGTGTGTCACTTAGGTGTCATACAACTTTTGTTCGCCATTTACCAGACGTCCTTGAAGGACATGAGATGACAGACTCTGACTCACTGCCTTGGGTAGGAAACAGCTTTCGGTTTGCTCCATGCATCTAATGAATATATTCAATATCTGCATTTATGAACCAACATATTATCGCTGTAATATCTTATTAGATGTATTCTTTGCATATTGTACTTTGTGCTAGAATACAGAGAGGAGAATGGCAACACTGTTGACTGCACTGACTGTAAGAAATGGTCATGTGACAAGGTGGTTGCCAACCATCCCTAGTACAGCAAGGTCCACCTCATCAAGGGTGGACTTCTTTAAATGCAGAGAGTCATTTCAGCTGTAAAAAACACTACTGATACAGTCCATGTCAAGCTCACTTGACAGTCATCAGTGACTGAAACCTGGCACTTGCATCTACTGTCACTGACTATATTGCTGCTGGAGTAACAATGCTTGTTATTTTGAAATTAAGAATGAGCCGTCTACATGAGGCCGACAGTCAGGTTTGATCAGCTGCATGTACTGACCTACAAACTGACAGTAAATTATCTTTACAATTATATTTAACAACATTTCCTAAAGGCCATGTCGAATTGTTTCCATCCCAGTGAATCAGATGGGCCTCAGACAATGACTCAGTTTGTGAACAAATGACAGTTCTACAAATACCAAGACGCCTAATGACTCATAATGACGGCATGTTAAATTATGCATACCATGTCTATCATTCCTTTCAACATTTACCCTTGAAAAATACCCCTGCTGTAGTCAAATCAATGAAAAGGACTACCACCTGGAAGTCTTATTATATTAGTACCACTGTGGAACAAATTTTAGGCAGTTTCCATGGAAACAAATACTCAAGAGTTGAAAGGAAAACACATACTAAATGAAGGTTCAATTGACATGCCGAATGTGCAACATCATTAGAGTTTAGGAGTAAGGTGAAGGTCAGATACATGTACATGTTACCGAACAGGAAGTCCATGTTTCAGACAATTCATATCCACAGTTTTAAACACCTCCTACATACCTACTTGCACTAATAGATCTTTATAAAGCAGTTTTAAGGACTTTGTAAGTAATTGAGGATATGAATAAACTTCCTTGCTGCACGTATCCTGTTACATATTATCCTGTACAAAGTTTATGGTGATTAATGACATAGTCAGGATTGAATAATTCTTATGTTAATATGGGTAATATTACGTAGTGTGTGGTGTGTGACAGGCCCAGCATACCAAGTGTGTTATCCATGACCCAGCACACTGCCCCAGGCATTCACTGAGCTGCATTCACCACATTCTCCTGGACTCGCACAACACACCAACGCACTGGTCACTTTGATCTTGTAGAAAACTATTGCTGCAACTATTAGGTTGTTTGAGTTATAACTGCAATAGCTCTGACCATGATTAGATCGGTTTCATTTCTCTTTGACCTTCAACTCAATGCTGCAGTAGATATTTCCTCCCACTTTCACCGCAGTGAACAAAACAGGAAACACACTGAATGACAATTCCTATTTCCTATGTAAAAATTTGTCAAATTCACAACACAACAGAATCTTGTCAGTGTAACAATCTTCCATGAAGTATTTGAGCAACTTGTACTGCCCGTGTGAGTCCTCCCCCTAAAGTGATGTCATGTCAACCTACATCATACACAATATGGATGGGTACATCAGTCAGTAAAACATTCCGGACAAATATATATTTAACTTGAGTGAGTGAGGAGTTGCACCTCTAGTCTGGAATAATTCAGCAATAATTTAGCTATAATTTAGATAATTAGCTGCCCTGTAGAACCAAATTTGTTCCCTATCAAAAAGCATCACACATCCCGTTTCCTACACATGGTCAGAAACATGGTGTTCAGCTGGGCTCACTGTACGACATGTTTCAGAGGTTCAGAAGCACTGTACTATACATGCTGACTGAGCATCAGATTGTACACATCTGTCTATCTGTACCATGTAGGATAATGTAAAGACGGCATGTGATTATCTCATTCTTCCACTCATCTTACAGCATGGAGAACAAGTGAGCTGGGCTTAACACTGCTGACAGGATGGGCTCTTATTGGGAGAGCCGGGTGACAGGTCATGTACCACTTTGGTTCAGCCTGAGTGCACGGTGAAAACAGGCAATAACTGAAGGTTTAGCAATATACTGCTCACTGGACATGATCACATAAACAGTGAAGTGTGCGGAGGTCACACTTGTGCCTGGGACAAAGGGACCTGTCTCCAGCACGCTCTCTCTGTATGTACATTCCCCACATAATTCACTCATGTACAGAAAAAATAAATACTTGTCATGGAAACAGTCATGCCTACCCACACAACACCTTCATGAACACTTTCATAAAACACTTCCATGTCTGACAATAAATGTTTTCAGTTACGATATAAGTAACTCTGTAACTTAAGACAATTACATCTACAACAAATAATACATCTGACAAGGTGCGAGTGGAGATGATGACATGTCATACAGTGGCCTATAACATTAGCTGACAACTAGTTATACAACTAAATTCTAAACACAGCCTACATGTCTGTCAACAGAAACATTTCTGACAATTTGTTTTAATGGACTGAACTTTTACAAAAACAATCATGAATGTACATTTAAGAAAGTACACTTAATTATCAGTATATCCTGGCCACACCTAGCCAATGAGAAGTCAATCACACATGTAATACATGCCAGTACATTTTGACACATGGAATAACCAGTACTGCATCGTTTGCACCAATTTATGTTTATGTATACAGTATAATCAGTATCACTGGGCAGGTGACACATCTAACACTGTAACTTGATTTATTGAACCTGTCACCATCCATGGGATATGTATTCTTCATGACGTCTCACAGACTACTCATATCTAGAATTTTATCACAAAACCGATTTCATTTGGATGGAGACAAAGAGCGAATTAATCCCACATAAACACCACCCCCGCTCCCACGATGTCCCGCTGCATGGCGACCACGCCCACTATATACATTGTTAAGTTAAAAATAACTTCTATCAAATACCTCATTCCAGACTGGGTCAAGTTCAGATTTTACCACCTGTGTCTTTTTCCGAGTACCTGCAAAACATAGGAAAATATAGAGTTACTTTGTGAGAATAGTCAACATCTACCATCTCTAGTATACAGTGAGAAAACCTGTATGTGTTTACAGTACTGCATGGGAAGCCGGTGACCTCCGCTTGGTAACTTTTCACTGAGGAGTAAAATTTACACTTACCCTGGAAATCTACGGTGGCATAAGGGTCACACTTTCCGAATGATTCAGGATTCGGCACATTGTTGGCACTAATTACTGTCACTTGAAGAGCCATGCTGTGTTTTTTTCACTTGACGTATTATCAACTAAGTAAATCCATTGCTCGTCTCAACTTTCTCAGTGCTGAAGTCTCGGCTAAATCCGACGCCCTCTCGCGACACAGGCTAAAGGCATGAGGGAGATAACTCACACTACCTGTGGGGATCATCAACAGTCCATCGTTAATTGCCAAAAAGCAAAAGCAAAAGTACAACTTATATCAGATATAGCCGCGATAGAGATCCTGCACACGCTGTTAATACCATATAAACGTGCGGGTCGATGTTTGCCTCCTCTGCTGGTGGAGCAGCAACCCAGCTGGATATTGATTTTTAGTACTGCTAACACTAAATAGCTGTCCCTCGCTCCTGTCCCTACAAGCCCGTAAACTGTACCCCTGACACCAGGGTTACTGGTTTATATACATCCATGGACATACTGAACACTGCACAAGTATGCAGATATAATTAAGCTTCTCCACCTCTCGACATGTTGAGGCATCTAAATTTAATTCACTATGCAGAAAAATATAAGACTATCGTATCTTGGGGTTTTTTCATCTGAATAGCGCAAAACTTCGGTCAGAAACAAGAACGATTATATGAAGGGTTGTTTGAACTTTTAACGCTTAACACATTACGCCTGCGATAATCATCGCGACATGCTGGGTCGATACAGTGCGGGGCTGTACAATACCGTGGCAGTAAATCGCATTCAATTATATAGATATCTGACGGATACCACCGTCATTATCACACACTATATATATATGTACATTAGTTTGGACATACATACGATCACATATATTGATGTCACACGTGTAGCTGTATGTCAGCACATGCTGAAGTTGACCTACAAAAGATGGGGATTGTTAATGAATTCCTGACAGACGAGAAATATCATCTCCAGCCACCCCCACATTTCCTCGCACTGATAGGTATACTTATGAATATATAATGTGTTCAGTGTAAGGCAGTAGATATTGCCCCAATAACACTCTGGCTCTGTCGCTCTCACAGAACTTTGTAGAAAGAGCAGGCAATACCAGACACTTGAACCCACAGGCAAAATTGTTTTTATTACCCATATGGTGAAAACATAACCAGTGTCATATATATCAGATGTGCACATGTGCACATATCTCTTTTGCCTAGCAACCATTGTTTGTTTTTCGTCGTCTGTGACGTCATTAAACAATTGAACGTGACGTCAATAAAGAGTGAGTGAGTTTAGTTTTATGCCGCACTCAGCAATATTCCAGGGCCTAGATTTTCGAAGCTCTCTTAGCGCTAAGACTGACGTAAGTTAATGTTAATGTATGGCACTTACGACTATCTTAGCGCTAAGAGAGCTTCGAAAATCTAGGCCCAGCTATATGGCGGCGGTCTGTAAATGGACCAGACAATCCAATGATCAGCAGCATGAGCATCGATCTACGCAACTGGGAACCGATGACATGTGTCAACCAAGTCAGCGAGCCTGACAACCCGATCCCGTTAGTCGCCTCTTACGACAAGCATGGGTTGCTGAAGATCAATTCTAACCCGGACTTTCACGGGTCGACGTCAATGAAGAGGGCCGTCACACTTGCTTACTATGTTTTACTGCACAAATGTACATGAATAAAATGGATTATAAAGAAATAATTATTACCTTCGGGCAAGTGTGTCATGTGAAATGTTGTATTGCCAGAGCGAGAGCAGCTCGTTTCGTATAAGTCGTATGACAGACTTGCTCGTGTAATAATCTGTATATTTGTGTGTCTCAATCTACCCGTAGATTCGGGCTAGAATTGATCTCCTCGAACCCATGCTTGTCGTAAGAGGCGGTAAACGGGATCGGATGGTCAGACTCGCTTTCTTGGTTGATACATGTCACCGTATCCCGAATATACTCTTCACAAAAAGTTAAGCAACACAAAGTTTTAGTCTCATTGCATTTTCATTTATTGAAATTGCAAGTCATGGAATGATGCAAAAGAAAGGTGAAACATATGTACACATGATTAGCAAAATAAAATGAAATGGTATTGAGCAATAATAGACTTACAAATTATCAAAAGCATGTACCCGTGAAACAGTCGTGCAAGATGTGCTGTATTGACGGATCAAAATGTTAACATTAAGGTTCAAGTCAGATTTAGACAATGAAGCAGTGTTCAGGAACGCGTATGACCACCATGAGCACAAATGCAAGCTTCTACACGTCTTTGCATTGACCAAATGAGCCTTTAAAGTTGCTGTTGTGGAATGTTCTGCCATTCTCTCTGTAACGCCTGCTCAAGGTCATCCAGAGTCTAGGGGTGAACATGGAGACCGTAAACACGACTTCCAATCAAGTCCCAAGCATGTTCAATGGGATTAAGATCAAGTGACCTTGCAGGCCAGTCCATATGTGTGATATTCTTGATCTAAACAACATTGTTAACAACTCTTTCTCGGGCATTATCATCCATGGACGGGCATTATCATCCAGAAGTTAGGACCCGCTTGTTGTACCAGAGGAATGATTACAGGTAGGTTTGCACCGATCAGGGTGCATGTGTGAAGAGTGGAGCACATTCATGCCACACATTTAGCATGTTGTTTCTGAGGGTGGTTGTGTTCGGGTGATGTTGTCAATGTTAACAGATAAATCAATTTGACAGTCACTAAAGGTTATACTTTCCTTGAATATTTCGGTAACATGTCGGAAAAAATCGCTATCGAGATTGATAACGATATTACACTGAAAATACCTGTTGCTAAATATTTTGTGAGGAGTATATATATAGATGGATACTTATTCTGTTGATCACTGGATTGTCTGGTCCAGACTCAATTTTTTATTGACCGCCACCATATAACTGTACTATAGCTGAGTGCGGCGTTAAACAACAATCAAGCAAAAAGTCAATCCAAAAAAAGGCCGCTTTCTGTGAGTTCCAACAATTTAAACAGTACTTCGGTTAGTGATGAAAGAAAGCACAAGCATGGAAATAATTCTTACAAATTACAGAGAAATACAATCAGGACGAACTTCGAACTCACGACCAAGCTTTTTGGTTCGCCCAGAGAACACAGTCCTGCATAGACACTGGTGTATTGCAAATAGTAGGGATAACAAACGCTACGGAACACCGAGTATAAGTAAGTATAAGTTAGTATAAACCGACAAAATGCACCGCTGCTCACAAGGCATTGTTAACCTGTCTGATTACACCTGAGCTCAACTGAACCGGTAGCCGCTGTTCCAAAATGACAACAGGGGTCAGTTGTATGTGACGAATTTGATATTACAATTTACACATGCGCAGAAGTAGATGCTTTCGTGAGGACGAGTGGGACATTGAATACATTTTATTTCGGGAAATGTACGCACGCACGGCCTTGTTTCATCCCCTAAATGTTGAGCCACAGGCAATGTAAAAACAAGTACCATCTAATTAGGTCTTTCGGAATGCTGCGGACTGGGATCGAACCAGCGACGTTGCGGACAGAAGGACAGACGCACAATCCACGAGACTACGGAGCGGTATGCCGGACCAGAAGATATGGTCATCAACAAGCTTTAAAACAATGATGAAATCACACCGCTTCACTTAATTAGTGGCTGTAGAATGTATGTAAATCGTTCACTGTTAAATGAGCATGGCTATTTCACAATCGATCGGTCATGTATCATCTAATGCCAACATGAATGGGTCATATTGAATCAAAACTACAGGCAGATGTTGTGCTATATTTTAGGTATAACATGCGCCTGATTTCTTGGGCAAGCATGCAATATTAGCTCCCCACGTCTCACTAACGCTGAAACTGATACTTGTGGCAAATATATATATTGAACCAGCTATTGTCAGTGGGAAACTGTATAATGAAAGGCAGGCAGCTGCAATGATTTGAATACAGCACTATATGTATCATGTGGTAGAAAATGAATAAACCTAGAATGTATTAATATTACATCGGCTGAATGAATGCATAAAAACGAAACAATGGACACCGGTTTTTTGTAGTGTTTTCCGTCACCCGCAAGCGAAGTAGCAGGATTCTACGCCATGTTTGCTTTGCCAGAACATTGTCAATGTGGGTAGGCTAAAACGCTGCAGTGTTATATAGGACCTTCTTGGCAGTAATAAGTGAGGACAAAGGCGCAAACGTGGAATGATAAATCTGTGTGTTTACCTAGGCTTCCAAACGACATGTAACAGTGAATATTTCAGTGTGATAATGCTCAACAGTAGATGTAAGTGACAATTAGCATAACAGGGTGTGTTTCATAATACAGAATCTTCATATAGACGAGATTCCTCTGAAAGCCTTTTCGGTGTGAGTACTACAGAATATGATCTACCTTCGGTCGGGATTGCTCAAATAACCTATTCAGGGTTAGTATTTTCAATGCAAATGTATTATCTATCGTTAGACTGGATTGTCTAAACAACACTCGATAAGATTGCTAAAATCACCTTGTCGGGGTTAGTAATGCTGATTAACATCTGCCTTAAGATGCATGGAATGGCTTAAACAACTGTGTCAAGGTTTGTCATACAGAATAACGCCTACATTAAGATGGGATTGCTTAAATAACGTTGTCAAGGTTTGTCATACAGAATAACACCTACATTAAGATGGGGTGGCTTAAATAACGTTGTCAAGGTTTGTCATACAGAATAACACCTACATTAAGTTGGGATGGCTTAAATAACGTTGTCAAGGTTTGTCATACAGAATAACGTCTACATTAAGATGGGATGGCTTAAATAACGTTGAAAAGGTTTGTCATACAGAATAACGTCTACATTAAGATGGGATGGGTTAAATAACGTTGAAAAGGTTAGTCATACAGAATAACGTCTACATTAAGATGGGATGGCTTAAATAACGTTGTCTAGGTTAGTCATACAGAATAACGTCTACATTAAGATGGGGTGGCTTAAATAACGTTGTCAAGTTTTGTCATACAGAATAACGTCTACATTAAGATGGGATGGCTTAAATAACGTTGTCAAGGTTACTCATACAGAATAACACCTACATTAAGATGGGGTGGCTTTAATAAAGTTGTCAATGTTAGTCATACAGAATAACACCTACATTAAGATGGGGTGGCTTTAATAAAGTTGTCTTTGTTAGTCATACAGAATAACACCTACATTAAGATGGGGTGGCTTAAATAACGTTGTCAAGGTAAGTCACACAGAATAAA